TTCATATGATAAAGCAAATTTATGTTAGGAAGGTGACTTATAGGTCTTCTAATATAATGGGAAAGGGTGCACAACCTTAAAGCTATGGTTAACATTTCTTTCCACCCAAAAGAGAAGATGCCACCAACCCAGTCACCAAAAGCTGTATCACACTTATGAATCAGATGTACTTTTACTTGCCTATATAGATATATTTTTTGTATCACTTTCACAGACTTGGAGAGTGTGCAGAGACCTCAGAAATTATCTAGTGCATCTTTTTTATCTCTGGCTAAACTCTCCAAGCAGATGACTAGCTGCGCTATATACTTCATTGTCATCAGAGAATGTAGAAGAACTAGGTCCACTGCTACTGTTATCACCAGGCAGGAAGTTTCTACGAATGTAGAAGAACTAGGTCCACTGCTACTGTTATCACCAGGGAGGAAGTTTCTACTCTTATTCAACCTGAATCTCACTGTTTTCAGGAGAAATGCAGAAGAACAAACACTATCTTATCTACCACAACCCTTCTTATATTAAAGCCCCTTTTTTGTTTCAGTTGGGTATCACCGTAGGTAGATCAGGTATTGCGTTTCCCTTCATCTCACCTTAAGTTTTTGGAAAGGGAAAAACTAGGTAAAGCTATACAAATCAGTTTATATCCATTGCTAGAGTCTTATTTGTAATCAGAAGTGAAATTTTCTCATATTCTGGTGTCTCCTACCATGAATTTCTCTCTTATCCTCTCCAAGAAAACAAAAAATCCTTAGTATTTATAACATGGAAGAAATTCTGATCATGTACTCCAAAGCACACAGTTCTTCTTTTTGGTTGCATTTATCATGACTGTAAATTCATGTCATTTTTAAATAAATGTCTGTCATCTTCACTGAAATGTAGACTCAATGAGAACAGTTAACAAATGCCTTTCAAAAGTCATTCTAGTAATACTCCTATATTGGGGATACGAATGTAGAGTCTGTAAAAGTCATTCTTGGAAATGACTTGCCAAGATTGTAGAACATGCTGATGACAAAGCCAGGTTTAGAACTCCATATTCTTCACTGCCCATTCACCTTCTCTGTCCCTTGTTCAACAGTGGTTCTTGCATCTAATACCCTGGGCAGTTACCCCCTACTAATGAGTGAAGTGTAGACAAACTTCACGAGCTGTAGGTTGGCTGCCTGGCTCACAGCGTTCTCTTTCAGTTGGAACATAGAAACGCTCCCACAAATGTGCCTGGTTTATATGTATGTAATGTAGAACTCCAAGTACAGAACCAAAAACAGAATTCTACATCCATAGCAGAGAACCAATTTCTTCTCTCCTATGAAGGTCAAGTTTTACAGAGGCCAAGCCACAAATGCCAGCTGAATTTCCATGGTTCAGCCACTGCTAAATCAAATATTCTGCTAAACAGAGCTCCAATTTGTATGGTTTTTAAATTTTATTTTAGGATCCTTTAAAGCAAATATTCAAAAAACAGAGCCTCTCCTAAGCACATGAAAAAAGCAAACATGAATTTTTGGAGTGATGAAAGTGATCTAAAATTTGATTGTGGTGATGGTTGCCCAACTCCACAAATTTATTTTAGAATCCTTTACAACATCCACTTAAAATGGGTAATTATAAACTATACTTCAATAGAGCTATTTAAAAATAAGTGTGAAAATTAATCAGAAAGCTAAGTACTTCTTTTTGTAAATATCTGGTATCAAAATTATAAAGACATTCTATAATAGCCCCATACTCTTTTAAGCCCAGGTTCTATTTACTGGTTCTATTTACCATCATGGTTTGCCTACAAGGTCAAAAGCTTTTCCTGTAATTTTTAAGGGACTAATTTAAGGGACTAAAATATTTTAAGGGACTAATATAAGTATCTATAAATAACCAATTTCATTGCTATAGCACCATGAGATAGTGACTTATTTGATTATCTGCATGAGTGATCCACAGACAACTGTTTAATCACACACAGTATTCTAGTCCAGAAATAGCCATCAATTAACCACTCGGTTTTGAGCAAGTTATACATCTCCAGATCTGTCTTCCTACCTACATCATGTGTCCCCCTAGCCAAGATTACAGCTAAGTTGTCCCCCTGGCCAAGATTACAGCTAAGTAGCACATAATATATTAAAAAGGGTAGTAGTTCTCAGACTGTTCAAGTACAGTTGGACAATATCCATCATATCACGAAAAAAAAAAAAAGGGTAGTAGCTGCTATCATCTAATTAGCAGCAATTAACATGCCAGAATGTGGGTAAATTAGTAACCTACAACAAAAGTAGGATTTTTTTGCAGATGAAGAAACTGGAACATAGACAAGTTCATTATTTGGCCAAGGTTAAAGTTATTTAGTAGCAGACCCAGGATTCCACCTCAGAAACATCCACCTCCAAACCCTATACTCATTCTCTATTCCTCATTAGATTCTTGGCTTTTGATTTTGTCAGATGTGGGCATGACTTCTGACCTTGCCTTTACTATCTTAAGTTAGTCACCTTCTCTGAGTCCGGTTTCTTCATATGTAAAATGAGATTACTAATACTTAATTCTCGGCATCATTGTGAAAAGTAAGTAAGAGTGTGCTTCTCCTACAATTAGAAACCATTCAATAATAATAGTCTTTCCCGTCTCTCTCCCACGAAAGTTCCTTCCTGTGTTAAAAAAAAAAAATCTATCAGTTCCTTGACTTCCTTGTAGCCTACCTGGACAAACCTCACTGGGACTGAGTTCTATCAAAAGCGATTCAAGTGAACACAAACAACACAGCATTAGTCCTATGCTATCAATTCAGGACTCTGTGATAGACACTGTCAACAAGAGTGTCAACTTCAAGGGGTGGGCATCCGTCCACAGGAACTGAGCTGAGGTCACAGACTTGTCTCATTCTGCCCTAGAAACAGATGTCTGGGTGACAACTCTTAGTCACTGCAAACCAGAGTTAGAGCCAAACCAGGTGGGAAGCACTGTATCCCCTTTCTAATCCTCTTGGCCATTCCCTAAGACAATACCTCACTGACCATAACAAAACAGCTAGATTTCCCCCAAGATACCAATTTCAACATAATTTATTTCAATGATGTCTAATTATTCCACAAGCAGAAGAGGGTGTTGCTATAACAGTGATCTATCAGTAAGAAACCACTTTGATTCTGTGTATTGGAATGTGCACCTTCAGTCACCTCACAAGCAACCTGGAGAAAACTGATGTAATGTGGAGCTCTAGTGGTGGCAAGAAAGTAAAGCAGCCATCGCTGAGTCAACAAAAAAGCCAAGGAAATCCCCATTTGGTATTTATTTGTTATTATGGAGAAATCATCATTTATTATTAAATCAATATGTTAAGAAGAAAAATGGTTCACAATGATCTCCTTAGATAATAGAAGGTAAACTCTAAGTGAAAGAAGGCTTTCTTTCAGAATACAAATTGAACCTCAATAAGCTTACATCAAACATGCATAAATCCACAAAAAAACGAATTCAGTGCTGTGGCTGTCACTTCTCCACTTCTTACCAAGTACGTTAAAAACTTTACTAATTAAACACAAGTTACTTTTCACACAGCTAGCAACAGTACTGTCTACAGAAAACACTGGACTTTAAGTGGTATGATCAGTGAAGTCATGTACCAACTGTCTTGGGAATTTAAATAATCTCTGCAAGCTGATGAGGTTGTTACAAGTTAATTCCTGCACTAGAAAAGTGGCTTCCTTGAATTTCTGAGTTCTGAAGTCTTTCCCAACTTAAAACAACTACGAATGAAACCTATGGATGTCAAACATTAACTCTTTGTTTTCCTGTTACCTAAGGAATATGTCTTCTCAATGGAAAGGGCTTTAGTTAAAATACAGCTCCATTATGGTCCACAATGGAGCAGAACATAAACAATAAAAATTTTATGATGTACAACCGGGATTTAACATTTGAAATTTCTAAACATGGTGTCTGGCTTAGCTGTGTCAAAACCAGTTATCATGAGGGAAAAAAATCCCTAGAACATGAAAAATACAGGAACTAGCCTCTCCATATATATGAGTATCTAAGTAACATGTTCCTGAACATTAAAGTGTAGGAGCTCACTTTTCCATTGGTGATCATAAAAGACGCTAAATTTTATAAATGCATTACCAACAATTATCTGAAATAAAAGCCTCAATATTCATAGGAGTTTTTCATGGCATTTAGCAGCTGGATCTACTAGATGTTTTGCAATGGACATATTTCAAGCACTTCTAAATTGTTAGGTCAAGAGATGATAAACTACCAAGTCTATGAAGTTTATGAATGAAGATTTAATAATTACCCAGGGTTTTTAAATTCACTGATGTGTCTGTTCTCCATCCTTCTACTAATATGCTGTCATTAATACAGTTCCCTAAAACTACAGAGAAAAATGGTAAAAATCTAAGAGTCTTCTCTGAGAAGTCATTGAAAATACTATAGTTTGTAACAAGCAGCTCAAATAAAGAAGTAATTTCCTTTCATTACTCACTGCTAACTATGGGATAGGAGAGAGAACCTTTTTGATAGAAAAGAATAAAAGCAGGCAGAGGAGTTAAGATTGTTTACTAACATAATCATATATCAAAGGGAACAAATGGAAACCTGTATTAATGAACATTAGCCACCAGAGAAGTCAGAATCTAAGGTGTTCTGCAGTCCTTTCACCAGACATTGAAATTAAATGAGATTAATGAATATTTTTTCAGTCTGTGAATCTAAGAACTTCACCTTTGTACATCACCTTGCCCATATTTTCCTTGGTGTTTATCTCTATCTCCTTTGCTTTTCCATAACAGTATGCTACTTAAAATAGTATTTGGGGCTTTATTTGCCATTCTTTTGACTGAGACATGTTGATTTCATTCAATTAAGTTGGGTCGGCATTCTTTCTTTACTATTACTACCAGTAGACTTTGACAGACAGGGAACCTTTGTTTAAGATGCTCTGCTATGGAGGAAATTGCTCTGCTATGGAGGAAACCTTTGTTAAGTAAGTTCCATTTTACCTGCCGGGCAGTTGCACTCTGAAGGTGCTTCTCTTGCGATTCTTATTTTAGCCATATGTTCATAGGATTTCTGCAGAAAAAGAAGAGTTATCAACCATCAACAGCATTGTAGAGAAAAGGATTCTTCAGGGACTTCCGGCCATATGCTTGATTTGCTAGCGTTTGATAGCCTGTACAAGTAACATATACATATGTCCTTGGACTTAAGTCAAAAGGTAATAGTACCCAAATTCTAAAAAAAGAAAATGACTGTTGACATGGCATCAAGACTGCTGGACTTGTAGAACATCTCTCCCCATTCTTCAACTACCACCACTCTCTTCCTCAACTCAGGCATAAGTAGTCAATGTAGAAAACAGGCATTAACACGTTGAAGTTCTAGGTAAATGATGGGTTTTTTAACAGCCAATATTTTATATACATCAAGGTAAACTGCTTATCATGTACTGCTGCTACTGCCAAACAGCCTCCCTATAGGAAGAGAAAGTTCCAGAAAAGCCCCTGACTCTAGTGGAAGCCACCCCTGGTTTTGATAGATATAATGTAGATTCCTTTCAACTCTCAACTCCAATGGCTCTGCAGTCATGAAAACCCTGACACTGCATTCTTTATAAAAACTAACTTACTGTTTTTTCTTTTTAAACGTCTTATTTGAAAACATTCAATGTGCGATTGATTTAAAATCATATACAGGGTTATTCCACCTTCAAGAGTGTTATGGTTTGTATATTAATAACACCTATGGCCCTAACCTTCTTACAACACCTGAAGGATACAGCAGATGTTATCTCTGCAAGGAATATTCTCTACATAATGGGAAAAGATTAACATTGGACTCCAGAAAATTTAGAGATAAAATGCCAGCCTGCCATTCTGGCCACCCTTCCGCATTTTGTATGTCCTCCATATATGTTTAGCATGCAAACATTCAGAAGACTGAGGGAAGATGACATAGAGACAGAAAAGGTGCTACAAACGGATGTGCCTATACAAAGATATGCTACAGTGAGCACAGCTGGTCGCCTAACATATGCACAGCCAGCCACATCAAGTATGCATAGAGTAAGGGTGGAGGCTGGTCGTGCACAAGAATCACGCCTGTGCAAGATGATATCCACATGCAGAGTACCCTAGCCTTTCACACCTGAGCCAGAAGTCGCTCCACTTTCTCATGCACCACTGCTTTGAGCTGATCCAGGCAATCAGGAAGCAGACGGACGGAAGGGTCCCCTTTGGCGGATTCGAGAGCGGCGATCCTCGCCTGGAGATCGTTGGTTTTCACCCCCAGGTACAAACAAGACATTACGGCCACCACCGACAGGAGGGCTGCCAGGGCCGCGCACGGGGGCACGGTCCGGGCACAGCGCTGTCCGATGGGGCCGGGGCCCTCGGCACCCAGCTCCCGGCCCCCTCCTTTCCCTGCGTGTTTCTTCACCAGCATCGTGGCTGGGTAGGCTGCCTCGGTTTCACCTCCCACCCTCTACCACTTCCAATATTCTTGAAAGAAAAAGGACGATTCCTCCAAAGTTCGGTCCCGGTGGCTGCACAACTAGTTGGCGGAGTCGGAGCCGGAGCGCGGAGATGCAGCTCCGCTTTCCTCAACGCCGAGACCAGCAGACGTGGACCATCCTCCGCTTTATCCTCCCCTCCCAGCTGGGAGTGAAAAGCACCCCCAATGCGGAGACTGGTGGCAATAAGGTTAAAAACTATAATGAAACCCTGCCAGATGGCCCTCCTGGCCCCTCAGAGGATGGACACCTCTTCCGAGGGTCCCGAGAGCGGCCGCGCAGGGTCCAAGAGATAGCGGGAGAGGCGCTGAGAGGGGCCGCCGCTCTCCCTCGCCTCGGAGCACCGGACCTGTTGCGTCTGTTAATCTGCCTTATTTCTACCTATTCGGTGTTTTTCCGCACGCCGACCTGTTTCCCACATGGATTCAGTTCCAGGCACGAGGGTGAGAGAGACCACGCGAGCGTAGCGCAAAAAAGGGTGGCTAAGGAGAAGAAAGACGAAAACGAAATAACCCAACGAGCAAACGCGAGTCTCAACGCTGAAGTCGCGGCAGCCCGAAGTGTCTCCGCAGCATCGCGTGCGCGAGCCTTAAATACCGCCCGGGATGCTGGTGTGCGAGTGTTTGAGTGCGCGCGCGCCCCGCGCGCGGCGTCCCTCCCCCGGCCCCCGGCTCCCGCCGCGCGACGCCACCCCACCTCCCGCGGCCGCTGCGGAAGCCCACCTCATTATCATAATACATTCACCTTCGCCCAGACAGCGGACCAGGCCCGGGGGAATCCCCCAGCGGGCGGGGAGCGCGGGAGGGAGCCGCAGGAGGTCTTATTAGCATAATATATGCAAATAGCTGGAGCGGCCACCGTGATTGGAGAGGAGCTTGGTGGCCTTCCCCACCCCTGCAGAGTATCTCCCGCCCCCCCCTAGGGCTGCTGCTCCGGCTTGGGCTGGGGGCCGCGGCGAGGTCTGCGAAGGGAGGGCGGCGACTCTGGCGCTTACTGAGTCGGCCCTGCGCCCCTTTCATCTCTGTGAAATAAGGAGAAATGGCGTTCAGAAGGGAAACAGAAAGCCCCGGATCCTCCACTCTGAAGCAGCGGCAGGAGCTCGTGGGCTGGCTCTACTGCAGCCTTTCTCCCTCTCCCTCTCTTTCCCGCATGCCCGGAGGCAACGTGTCCGGCTGACGCCTGAGGTACCTGTCCCCACTTTCTTCTCTTTCCACTGCCGCCCTGCAGTTTCCGACTACGGGAAGTTTTCGCCCCCCTCCCCCGCTTCCGTCTGTCCTGGCCGCGCCGAGTCTCCTCCCGGCTCTGGGATCCTAGTCTCCACTAGGGTGCTAATGCGTTTTCCTGATTCCCTGTTTTGTGGGATTGCAAAAGGGAGCGTTGAGGTACACACATCTCTCAGGATTTAGGAAAAAACAAGAATGAGGTCAATTTTTCCTCTTACCTGACTCTCATGTTGCTCCCTCTGGATCAAATTACAAGTTCTCCAATGGGATTTTTGAAAGTAGTATTCTACGTCTATTTGACTTTGGGGGGAAAAATCCCACCTCTTATTCCAGAGTTCTTACCTCCTCCTACCCACAGGAAACACCAAAAATCTACCCTTAATCAAACTAACCACCACTTGTTGCTTATTAATGTAAGCAGTCAACATACTGCTGCCCTAAGCTGATCTTTCACAGACGTACACAAATATGAAGTAGGTATAAAGTAGTGTAGACATTTCAACCACATCAATTGATGTAAGATAACAGGAATAAAAAATGTTCAGGGATGAAACCGATGCAACATCAGAGGAAAACTCAGTGAATTTTGCTACAAAATCAAAAGCATAATTCCTTGCATTTGTGACAGGAAGTAGTTCTCAAAGGGTGGTCCCAGACCCAACAACTTAAGCGTCAACTAAGAAATTATGCAAAATTCAAATTCTGGAGACCCACCCACATCTACTGAATCAGAAACTACTACTATTGCTGAGTCAGAAACAAGCACTGTTATTAACAAGTCCTAATGATTTTGATACACACTGAAGTTTGAGAACCACTGGTGTTAATACTTCACAAAATATTTTCAAATACATTTTTTTATTTGAACCTCATAACTGTGCTGCAAGTAAGAAATTATTGGCCTCATTTTATACATAAAGAAGCAATTTTCAAGTCACATTAAATGGTAATTAAATGTGTTTCCAATAATAGCATCTAAAGAATGGTTATGAATTTTTTTAATATGTCACCTCTGATTTTCTGATTAACCTCTCTAACCATTACTTAGTCACCTCTGCAGGCTTTTCCTCTCCTTGTCCTCAGAATGTTGGGTTTCCTCAGGTCTCTATTTTATGCCTCTAACTCTGTACACTATCTTAGTGCTCTCAGTTACTGTCCTTAAACACTGATAAGTCATAAACCCATATTGCAAACCCAAATCTCTCTCCTGAGACTTAGACCTATATAGCCAGTTGCCTGTTTGTCATCTCCACTTGGATGTCCCATAAGAAATCCCAACTTAATCTGTATCTTACCTGCAAACCCTGCTCTTCCTCCTTTTTTTCCTATCTCACTAAATGGAGCTGCCATCCTCCAGTGTCGCCTTCCTTTCCTCATCTACCTAAATTCCTTCAATACTTCCTTTTGTCCTTAGGATAGAAATCCTATGTCTTACAAGTCATCACCTGGTGTGTCATCTCACCTTCCTCATTGCTCACATTTTCCCTGACATTGTCCACTCCAGTGTCTCTAAAGAAAGTATGGAGATAAAGAGAATGAAGAACTTTTCTTTAGGGCAAGACATGCTCTTTCAAAGTTTTAGTAGAAAAGCAATTTTCTGTGCTGACTGATGCTAACAGTAGGTCATGCATTTAATTTGGATGATGCATGTTCTTATGCCATGTTTTATAGAAATAGGCCATGAGGAGGTACATTAGCACTCTTGCAAGCTCTCAGAACTGTCAGATCTTAGTAGAGGGATAGAGCTGGCATTTTGTGGATTTAGAATCTTTATCCAGAGGATAAAGATTTCTTTGGTGGGCACAATAGCCCAGAAATGCACTGGCCCTTAGCACTAAGATCTGAAAACCCAGTAGATTCTCTGCATCAAGCACAGAGAAATGCATGGATCAAGAAAGCTCTGGGGATTTGAACCCATGTTCTGTAGATCCATCAGAGCACAGTTGTTTTGGTTCCTTGTGGAGAAAGATTCAAAAAGTAAAAATAGCACGAAATATGGTACAGTCCACCTGACTCCGAACTACCTAAGAATATCAATAGTAGTAAAAGGCAAATAGCTGGTGGTAGAACATGCAGGTGATTTGAAGAGTAGTGGACATCCAAAGATGTCCACATTCTAATCCCTAAACCTGTAAATGAGAAATGCTACCTTACTTGACAAAATGGATTTGCAGGTGATTAAATTAAGGATCTTGAAATGGGAAGGTTTTCTTTGATTATGTGGGTAGGCCCAGTGTAACAAGGACCTTATAAGAGGGAGGCAGGCTCTCAGAGTGAGAGGAGATGTGACCGTAGAAGCAGAGGTCAGTGTGATGTGAATAGTAGCTTTGAAGATGGAAGCCAAAGAATATGGGCAGTCACTAGAAGCTGAAATAGTCAAGGAACAAATTCTCTCCAAGAGCCTCTGGAAGGAATGCAAACGTGCCAACCCTTTGAGTTTAGGAATTCTGACCATCAGAACTGTAATGAGTGAGTTTGTGTTGTTTAAGTCACTGATTTCATGGTAATATGTTACAGCACCACAAAAACTAATAGAATCACAGCCTCAAGAAATCAGTCTTCATATGCAACAGCATCATAAGTGGCATTGAACTACCGTAATACCCTATAATTCAAGCAGACCCTGTAAGAACAATCCCTGTCTCTCAAATGTTGATGTTTTGCTTTTTTACTGACATGCCCATTGGGAATGTACGTGTAAAATGAGAATGCCCCCCACTGAAGCATATTAAACTGAACAAAATATTCTCTATTTCTTTGATGACTCCCATTAGAGCAACTCAAAAACAGTAAGCCAGTTAAGCTGTACAACTACTCTCATCTCTCTTCCCTACAATGCTACCCTAGACAGGATCCTGACCCAGGATTTAGCATTACTGCTAGCACTACTGTTACTAATCTACAGGCCCTAGAAACAATTTTTTAAAAAGAGATAAAGATTTCTGACAAAGAGACATGCCTAGAAGTTAAAATGAGAAAGAAGATGATTGAGAAAAAACAAGATACAGAAAGCAAAAAGGAGATAAGAGGAATGAACTTTTTAAGTAGATAGAAGTGTTAATTTTTTTTTAAAGGTGTACTCCACTCCTATATGCCACTAAGAGGCAGATCGGTAGGAGAATATATAACATAAAGGTGTGCTAACACATACTCAAAATTTTAATGTCTTATGTACTTAGAAGGAGTCTCTGACTAAATTAAGTAGTTGAGATAAACATGTTCTGTTTTTTAGGTATTACTTACATGACAGAAAAATATTTTAATTTGGTTAGAAAATATCTTTATAGCACCATTAATTTTTGAGGCTACTTAGTTACTAAAACCACAAATTTAACCAAATTTCACCATCAGAGCTATCAAACAGAAGCAAATGTATAAAGGGATTTGTGGCCATCTTTGTATACCCACAATTTCCCACTGTGTTCACTAAGTACCTAAATAAAGAAAATGCTAAAATAAATTGTGTGCTTTATTGAGCATGCTATTTCATAAACGTTAGATGCAAATGTGCTCTCAGGGAAACATTTTTTAAGAAAACAAAGTTTCTCAAATAGAATGGAGTAGGCAGTGAGTGAAGTGAACTTAAAAGATGTAGCTCTCCTATAGCCAGGCAAATTTCAATTAATCACAAATTATAAATATTCTTAGGAATAGAAAAGAACTTGGCTCTTGGTGACAGGCTGAAAAAATCCCTTTCAGACAGATCAAGGAACTGATCCCATTTACACAAGCCTGGTT